TCTCTGAGCTGAGGTATATACCATTTGGTTTCACCAAGACCAAGGAGGAATTCCTTGGTCCTAGGTAAGAGCTGAGAGAAAAAAAAAAAAAAAAAAAAAAAAAAAATTTAAAAAAGAGAAAGAGAAATAGAGATCTTTCTGTAGAGATTTCCTTAATTTGTTTCCTATTTTAGTCATTGAAATTTTCTGATGATGTAGTTACACAATGCTAACACATTTTCTGTGTGAGAATAATGAGAATGATCCAATTAAAAGACATTTTCATATTTTAGGGTTTGGGGGCTTTTGGTCTTTTTAAACAATGATAATTTCTAATGTTCATTCACCTCTTCCAGAGATGGCTTAGTGGTTAAGAGTGCTTCCTGCTTTTCTAGAGGTTCCAAGTTAAATCCCCCAGCACCTACACCTGGCACCTCTCAACAGCTTATAATTCCAGCTGCAGAGCATCCAGCTTCCTCTTCTAGCCTCTGTAGTCATGAACACATACATATAATTAAAAATAAAATAAATCTTTAACAATTTTTTAAAGATTAATGTAGTTTCTCATCAGAACAAAAAAAAAGATTTCTCTTAATTAACATTCCATTTGGCAAGTAGTGATAGTTAATTGTGCAATTATTTAAAGCGTGGGTTCTGGTTTTATACCCAGCTGATTCAGCTTTTAGCTTCCTCCTTTCTTCCTCTCCCACCATGGTGACTGGGGATACTGAATCTAGAGCATCATGACTGCTAAGCAGAGCACTGGGCTACACCTACAGACATTACTTCATTTTTTTTTTTTTTTTTTTAAATAAAAAAGGTGCTGGGATTGTGGTTTATACCTGTAATCCCATGTGCTGACTGGGAGTCATCAGAGAGAACCCTCAGTGAGAAAATGTCCCCATAAGATCAGGCTGTAAGCAAGCCTGTAGGGCATTTCCTTAATTAGTGACTGAAGTTCTGCAAGGGCCCAGGCATTGTGGGTGGTGCCATCCTTGGGCTTGTGGCCCTGGGTTCTGTGAGAAAGCAGGCTGAGCAAGCCATGAGGAGCAAGCCAGTGAGCGCCCTCCAAGGCCTGTGCATCAGCTCTGCCTCCAGGTTCCTGCCCTGACTTCCCTCATTAATGAACTACTACCCAGAAGTGTAAAGGAAACAAAGCCTTCCCTTTCCATGTTGTTTCATTACATCAGTGTTAACCTTAACTAGGACATCCTAGCACTTGACAGGCTGAGGCAGGAAGATTGCCACAAGTTCAAGGACAGCCTGAACAAGGGGGAGTGAGACCTGCCTCAAAAAAAAAAAAAAAAAAAAAAAAGTAAATAAGCAAATTATGGTGATTAAGGTGATTAAAAAATCAAATGCTAATACTTGCTGGCTTTACTCTCACATATACACATGAATCCAGGGTGTGCAGGGCGTTTATAATTATTGTGACTTTGGAGAATGTGATGAGAAGAATGTACATGTCAGAAAAATACAGAGTGGCGTTTGGGCGTGGTCAGAACGAATAGGGAGAGCCACACACATTTGACGTTGTGCTCCTTTTACTCTGTCTTATATTGGACGAGCTCCTTGTTTTTACATCACTTTGGGATATTCCCATTTTGAAATCAGATGTGCTGTGCTTTAGAGAAGCTAGTCTGCTTCGATGAGGTAATTGTTGTGCCAAGAGGCCTAGTGTTTTCCTGAATGATGTACTCTGCCACATAGCAGGCTTAGTGAGTCGCCACAACAGATTTGCAAGGGGGGAGAGGGAACAGGAGAAGATATGCTTGACAGGCAGGTGAGATCAGGAGAAAGATTTTCAGGGCACCCTTTCCCTTCAACAGGTCTCTAAGAGACAGTGTGCTTGTTTGCTCAGGGTCCATTTCATTCTGGCCCAGGAGCTGGCTTTAAAGACAGTCTTCTGGTGCTGTGTTTCATGGTGTCGGATTTAGTAGCAATAAACTTCCAGAAGACACACCAGGAAACAAAATGGAAACATTTGCTGAGCATCAGGATCTTGAAAGAGGAGGCCATTCAGATGTGAGTCCAAAAGCCTTGACTCAGCCTGGCCTGGAGTGCCTATGCCTGTGTTATCACAGACTGTATAGTCACTAGCCAGATGTGACTATTCTTTTGTTTGGGTTTTTAAGACAGGATCTCACTGTGTAGCCCTGGCTATCCTGGAACTCCATCTGTAGACCAGACTGGCCTTGAATTCATAGAGATCCTCCTGCCTCTGCCTCCTGAGTGCTGGGATTAAAGGCATATGCCACAGTGCTCAGTTTCTCATAGCTATCTTATTTAAAATTAATGGAGTTAAAAGTTCAGTCCTAGCCAGGCATTGGCGGCCTAGTCTATAGAGAGAGTTCCAGGACAGGCTCCAAAGCAATACAGAGAAACCCTGTCTCAAAAAAAAAAAAAAAAAAAAAAAAAAAAATCAGTCCTTGAATCCCATTAGGCCCATTTAAGGGAGAATATTTTATCATTTCCGGCAGCATTGGTCTGAGTGGAAGAATTTGGAAAGTAGTCAGGTAAGTATGATGAAGCTCAACTTTAATCCCAGCACTCAGAAGGCAAAGGCATGTCACTCTCTATGAATTTGAGGCCAGCTTGCTCTGTTACAAGTGCCAGGCCAGCCAGGTTTGCCTAATGAGATTCTGCCTGTGGGGAAGTGGGAAGGCTTTGGAAAATAGAATTCTTTACTGGTTTCTGAGTTTGTCCTCCGTGATTTGTTGCATTGATGCAGTGCTTATAGAGTTTTATGTGTGAGGGACTCATCTCTGGAGTTTGTATAAGATAGATATGAGTGCCCTCTGCAGATTCTGACTCCTCAGGTAGGAAGTAGTAAGTGGTGGGTGGGGAGTTCAGGGACAAGAGTCTGAAAAAAGAAGCTTGCCAATTCCGTTTTATGCTCTTTACTTTCATTGTGTCCCCAGTAGTTGATTTAAGAGCACCGTGGGTCGTCTCCAGCTTGCACTGTCATTGTGTTGAGTAGCTCGTACTCTTTCTTTCCAGTTTTCAGTCATGTGTGCTGTGGTTTGGCTGTGCCCCCAAATGCTTCTTTCAGGACAACAGTTCTTTCCCCTGCTAGTGTTGAGGGTTAAACGTGTGCTCTGGCAGAGACATATCCCCTGCCCCTCAGGCAGTCATTCTGATAACACTGTTCAACCTGTAGTGCAACACTCGGGTCTTGCCCTTGTAAGGGAGTAGAACAGGAATAGAACACATGAACTCCTCTCTAAAGATTATATCTAGTCAGAATGAACAAACATCTAGAGAATGATGAGAATAAGAATGAATAATGATTTGAAAAATAATACGGTAGAAGCTAGTACTCAAAGGGAAATCATTATCTTGATTAGGCTATGATGACATTCCTTTTTTGATTTGAGGGCTTTTACCCCCCTCCTCTTTGGAGTGTTGTTACCAGTAGGTTTTTCCGCCGCTGGTCTTGCCGTCATGCCAGCCCCAAATAATACACAGAGAGACGCTATATTTGATATAAAGCTGTTGGCCAGGTACTAGTTTCTTATTGGCTAGCTCTGTCTTAATTATTAACCCATTTCTATTAATCTAAGTATTTCCACGTGGTCTCATCTTACCAGGGAGTGGGGCCGGCGTCTGCTCTCCCCAGTCTCTCCATGCTTACTCCTCACTACTTCCTCGAATCCTCCTTGTCTCCTAGTCCCGCCTATCTTGCTTTCCTATTGGCCACCAGTGCTTTATTCATTAACCAGTATGAGAAACATATTTACAGAATGACATCTCCCATCAGAGTGTTTTATTTCTCCCATTGATCAGGAGCTACTAAATCCATGCAGGTAAAGCCAATATTAGAAAGAAAGAAAAAAAAAAAAAAAAAAAAAAAAAAACCTTTTACCTGGAGGTATTGGTGCACGCCTTTGATCTCAGCGCTCAGGAGGCAGAGTCAGGTGGATCTCTGTGAGTTCTAGAACTACATAATAGCAAGACCCTGTCTCAAAAATAAATAAATCAATAAATAATTAAGAATTTAAAGACTGTCTTTAGGATTTTAGGATTTTCTCTGCATAGCTCTAGCTTGGAACTCACTCTGAAGACCAGGCTGGTCTCAAAGTCACAGACCACCTGCCTCTGCTTCCTGAGTGCTGGGACTAAAGGTGTGAGCCACCACTGCCAAGCACCTTTACTATATTTTTAATCCTGGGAAAACTGAAGTTTTCTAAAGAATAAAATATTTTAAAAATATCTGTTAAGCTTAATTCCATTGGAGAAGATGACTCCATATTTCCCATATGAATAACATTAGAAAGCAACATTAAAAACCAGACATGGTGGTTGCACACCTGTGATCCTAGTACTGGAGGTGCAGAGAAGGTAGATCTCTGTGAGTTCAAGGCTAGCTGAGGCAGCACAGTGAGACCCTGTCTCCAAACCAAACAAACAAAAGACACAAGCAACAACTACAACAACAAAACAATGTTAGAGATCAGTAATCCCAACACGTGTTTGCTGAGGTTGCCACCCATTTGGGCCAGCCTGGGCTACAGAGTAAGTTAGTCTCGAAAAGGAAGGGAAGCAAACTCACTTCTGTTTTCTTGTTTGTTGTGTCTGGATCTTTGGTTTGAACACTGTCCCAATAGCTACACCACCTCATGTCCTATCAGTCCACCTGTGTGTTTACTTGTTAGTAAAGACATGAGAGTTTTGCCATTTTTTTCTACAAAATGTGTTCTCTTCAGAAAGACTAACTTCTAAAATGTTACTTAAATTGAGGCTTGGGCTTTGCCTCCTTAGTCATTTTACTTTCTTTTTATCTTTCCCTTATTCTGTACCTTTGCTTTGAGTTACACTGAAATTGACCTAAGGCGGTCCAGTTGGTTTTGTTTTAAGGCTCTTGTTTCTCTCTTGTTGGTATTTGAAATACCAGTTTGGACTTTGAAAAGAACAAATTAAAAACTAATAAGTCTTGCACAGAAATGCCATTTGCAGCCTTTTTTCTAGGAAAATATTTTGCTGAAATTCTGCTTTATTTTTTTTTTTTTTCATGGCTCCAGAATAGGAGAGTGGCGACTGCGCTAAAACATGGATAGATGCAAACATGTAGGACGGTTAAGGCTCGCCCAGGACCACTCCATCTTGAATCCTCAGAAGTGGTGCTGTCTGGAGTGCTCCACCACGGAGTCTGCGTGGGCCTGCCTGAAGTGCTCCCACGTGGCCTGTGGCCGATACATTGAAGACCATGCACTGAAACACTTTGAAGAGACGGGGCACCCGCTGGCCATGGAGGTACGGGATCTCTACGTGTTCTGCTACCTGTGCAAGGACTACGTGCTCAATGACAACCCCGAGGGGGATCTGAAGCTGCTGCGAAGCTCCCTCCTGGCGGTTCAAGGCCAGAAGCAGGACCAGCCGGCCAGGCGTGGGCGCACGCTGCGGTCCACAGCTGCAGGCGAGGACGTGGTCCCACCACAGCGCACTCCTCAGGGACAGCCGCAGATGCTCACCGCTCTGTGGTACCGGCGCCAGCACTTGTTGGCCAAGACGCTGCGGCTGTGGTTCGAGAAGAGCTCCAGGGGCCGTGCACAGCTGGAGCAGCGGCGGCGGGAGGAGGCGCTGGAGCGCAAGAAGGAGGCGGCGCGGCAGCGGAGGCGCGAGGTCAAGCGGCGGCTGCTGGAGGAGCTGGCCAGCTCGCCGCCGCGCAAGAGTGCGCGCCTGCTTCTGCATGCGCCCGGGCCCGTGACCGTGCGCCCTGCTACCCTCGCTACCTCCCGGCGCGCGCCCACCGCTGCCCTCAAGCCGCGCCGACAGCCGGCGGTGGCACCAGGCGTCACCGGCCTGCGCAACCTGGGCAACACCTGCTACATGAACTCCATCCTCCAGGTACTCAGCCACCTCCGGAAGTTCCGGGAATGCTTCCTGAATCTCGACCCTTCCACCTCCGAGCACCTGTTTCCCCAAGCAACCAACGGGAAGGCTCAGCTCTCTGGTAGGCCAGCCAGCACCTCTGCCACAGAGTTGTCGGTAAGGAGCGACCGGGCCCAGGGATGCGAACCTCAGGACCTCTGCTGGAACAGCGGAGCCTCCATCAGCAGGAGCCTGGAGCTCATTCAGAACAAGGAACCCAGCTCAAAGCACATTTCCCTCTGCCATGAACTGCACACCCTCTTCCGAGTCATGTGGTCCGGGAAGTGGGCGCTGGTGTCGCCCTTTGCCATGCTTCACTCGGTATGGAGCCTCATTCCCGCCTTCCGTGGCTATGACCAGCAGGATGCACAGGAGTTTCTCTGCGAGCTGTTGCACAAGGTGCAGCAGGAACTCGAGTCCGAGGGCTCCACGCGCCGAATTCTCATCCCCTTCTCCCAGAGGAAGCTTACCAAGCAGGTCTTAAAGGTGGTGAACACCATATTTCACGGGCAGCTGCTCAGTCAGGTAGGTGTGTACCGACCCGAAGCACCATGGGAAGCTCGGGAGGTAGTTTGGGCTTCCAGATTCCTGGGCTAAATGGTTGGTTGTACCTGACCCTGTACACTGGTGATCATGTAGGTGGGCTTGGGTGTTCTCTGTCCAGATCTTTTAATCTGTCTAGTTTACAAAACTGAACAGTTTGTGTAGAGCACGCTTTCCAAAGCCGTTTGAAAGGGCCTTCCCTGATAGGGCTTCCCTTTTATTTATAAGGAGTGGTTGGGAGGCTGAGGCCAGAGAAACCAGAGATCAAGGCCAGTAGGGAATATACAGCGAGACTCCATGTCAAATGAAAATAAAAATGAGGGGAGTGTGGGAGGGAGAAACACAGGAGGAACAGGACCAAGTGGGAGAGAAGAGTGGGTACCCTGCTATCGCCACTGAGACAGCATTCATGGCAGAGGGGAGAAAGCGGGGTGGCCCTGTGGGTCCTCGTTACAACTAGCTAGTTCCAGCATGCTTAGAAATGCAGCCACACATAATATGCCCCAATGCTTTCAGTAAAGTTTTTAAGTGCTTATTAACCTTTTGGGGGGAAGTGGTTGGTAAATTTATATGTCTCCTATAAAACAAGCAAAATTGTATGTAGGAAGCATGGAAACTATATAATCTGCAAACCAATCTTGTCGTTCTAGGTTACATGTGTATCATGCAATTATAAATCCAATACCATTGAGCCCTTTTGGGATCTGTCCCTGGAATTCCCTGAACGCTATCACTGCATAGAAAAGGGGTTTGTCCCTCTGAATCAGACAGAGTGCCTGCTCACTGAGATGCTGGCCAAGTTTACAGAGACAGAGGCCCTGGAGGGGAGAATCTACGCTTGTGACCAGTGTAACAGTGAGTGCCGCGTGGAGGAGGGGTGGGTTACAACTGAAATGCACTAGGGAGGCAGAGGCAGGTGGATGCCTGAATTCAAAGCCAGCCTGGCCTACAGGTCCAGTCAGGGACAAGCGTATATACTGACTTGTTTCCTGCCTGTGAACCCCCTGCCCACATGTGATCAAGCACATCCAAGGCAGATGGGTCAAACAAGCTTGTTTAGTTAGAGGAGTGAAAACCAAGGGGCTTGTTATCTCCCATAAACAACAGCCTCCGGCATTTCAGGAACTGCCTGTCCTCGGGCAAGGGGCTTGCAGAGCAGAGACATTTGTTTGTTTCATGAATCTCTATAGCATAGCAATTAAAACTTAAAATGCCACTTTGGCTCTAACACAATGATCTAGATTTCTGTTTACCACTATATAATAATAGTTTGGAGTATACTCTGGGGGGGTTAGAGGGGAGTCATTTTCTTTGTTTTTGCTTTTGTTTTTTGTTTGTTTGAGACAAGGTCTCTTTATTATTTATATAGCCCTGGCTGTCCTGAACGCCACTATGTAGACCGGGCTGGCCTCAAACTCAGGGATCCGCCTGCCTCTGCTTTCCCAAGAGCTGTGATTAAAGGTGTGTACAGCTACACCTGGCCAAAGCCTTTTCCCTGTAAGGAGAAAAGGGCACTGGCAACTCTGTGTCATCCTTGGATGTGACAGGTTAGGCAGGAAATACTCAGTTTGTCAGGAAGTGATTTTCTGGCTTAGTAAGGATTTCTCCATGCCGCTGCTAATGCAGAAGAAAGGCTTCAGTGGCCATGAACTACACTGGCTTGGTGCTCGTGAAGTTTAAGGATTGTCCTCCTTCCCCCTCTCTGTGTCTCATCTTAACTAAACGGAGACAAAACTGGCTATCTCAGCTGAGTCAGGAGTTTCTTTTTCTTTGTGGCATTTCATTTAGGGAAACCAAGTCTACATTGTTCCCACGTAGCTCACGTACTCCCTCTGCTGTGGATTGTGGTCATTGCCGCTTCCTCTTCCCAAGCTGAGCTCCATTACTTTTCAAAGGTTTAACAGGAATGGAAAGGTCTGGCAAAGCCCTCTCTGGATGCATCTTTGCATATCCCGTGTGTCATGACTGCATGGCCGCACCCTGATGTAGTCTGCTCTGAGCAGCTGACTCTCCATGTCACAGAGGGCTGTTTTCACAAATGCTACAAACAGAACCAGATGCCATGCTTTCTACTCTGAGCCCTCAGCAACAGCTTAGAAACAAGCAGCAGGCCCCGTCTCCGCTGGGCCCCGAACTTTGTGTTCCAGTCTGTTCACTTTATTGGATCACTAAGGGCTTTCAAGGGACTCTGATTAATATACAGTTCCTCATGTTGTGTCCCCAACCACAGAATTTTCATTTCTACTTTGTAACTGTAATTTTGCTACTGTAATGTAAATATCTGGGTTCCCCATGGTCTTTGGTGACTTCTGTGAAAGGGTCATTTGACCTGTATGGGGTCATGACCAGGAGGTTGGGAACCACTGGACTAGAGAGATGAACTTGGCTACCTTTCCACCTTATCTATAAGAAACACATTTCAGGTGCCAGAGAGATGGCTCCAAGGTTAAGAGCACTAGCTGCTCTTCCAAAGGTCCTGAGTTCACTTCCAGCAACCACATGGTGGCTCACAACCATCATAATGGGGTCTGTATGCCCTCTTCTGGTGTGCAGGCATACATGCAGACAGAACACTGCATATTGTATACATAATACATAAATCTAAAAAAAAGGGAAGAAAGGAAGGAAGGAAGTGAAAGAAAAGAAGGATGAAACACATTTCAGCCAGGCAGTGGTGATGCACACCACTAATCCTAGAAGACAGGCGGATCTCTGAGTTTCAGAACAGCCAGGGCTACATAGAGAAACACTGTCTCAGGAAAAAGAAAAATACATTTCAAAAACTATGGTCTAAAAACACAGAACTGCCCTAGTTTGCTTTCTGTTGCTGTCATAAACACCATGACCAAAAAGCAACTTGGGGAGGAGAGGATTATTTTAGTTTACAGGCTAATACAGTCCACTGTCAGGAAAGAAACGCAGGGTAAGAGCTGAAGGCCTGGAGAAAAGCTCCTTCCTCCCTGGCTTGCTTCCAAGCTTGAGTCAGCTACCTTTCTTATACCACCTAGGCCCCCCGTTGCCCATGGGTAGTATGCCCACAGTGGGCTGTGCTCTGCCACATCAATCAGCAATCAAGAAAATTCCACAGAGACATGCTCACAGGCCAGTCTGATGTGTTCTTCGGTTAGGGTTCCCTCTTCCCAGATGTATCAAGGTGACAACCAAAATTAACCATCACAACAACCAAAGTTTATTTTTTTAAAGTTGTGTTATCTTTTTTCTAAACTTCAAATACATGTAACATTCAAAACAAAAATGTTTCTCGTGGTGAGGGAGCTGAGGTTTAGAGTTTGGGAGAATTTATTCATTTGGTCCATATATAGTTACAACAGGGAGTGCAGCTAGACCTAACTGGTGAAAAGAAAAAAGGCCTTTTAAACAGAAGCTGCATGGCAATTTAAGTGCTGGGAATGTAAAAGCATAGAACCCTGGTGTATTCACCTCAGTGTGCTCACTGTGGTAGCAGCTGTCTACTACATTCCATCAGAAAGTCACTGAGTGGTGCACACCTTTAATCCCAGCACCCAGGAGGCAGAGGCGGCCGATCTCAGTGAATTGGAGTCCAGCCTGCTCTACAGAGGGAGTTCCGGGACAGCCAGGGCTACACAAGAGAAACCCTGTCTTGAAAAACTAAAAACATAAAGTTATGACACCTAGAATATACTATCCTAAACCTATATCACTTCTAGAAGCTGCTGATGGCAAAAGTTTGAAAGCAGATGTGTGAGGATCAGGATTTTAAGAGCCCAATAACTGTCATACAGAAGAAATCCGGAGGGCACCCAGGCTAGCTTGTGGCTACACGGCCATCAGGGAATGAAGGCTCCTACTGTTTCACTGTCAGGGTACGCGGCTCCCATCACTGCTTTTATCTTAGCCACAGCTCCAGAGCGACTGCATCCTGGCCTGTGAAACTGGGAAGTGCAGTCATATTTGGCATGTGTCATATTATTGCCATAACTAAAACTAAGGTCCAGGGTTTGAAAACTAAGGAGAATGTCTGTTGAGTGGCCAGTAACTGTGTTGATGTCCCTCACTGCCTGTCTTCCACCTTTCCAAACTACATAGGCAAAAGACGGAAATCAAACCCAAAACCTCTTATTCTGAGTGAAGCTAGAAAGCAGTTAATGATCTACAGACTACCTCAGGTCCTCCGGCTGCACCTCAAAAGATTCAGGTGAGCTTTGGGAAGAACTGTCTTGAGGGCTTGGGGAGGACAGATGGCTTTTTTTTGGGGGGGGAGTATGGGAAAGAGAAGCCTGTTCCTGTGGGGCCTTTCACTTGCTGTGAAGAGTCAATGGTTCTTGCTCTGTAAGAAAAGCTGATACTGGGCTGGGTGGCAATGGCACGCTCCCTTAATCCCAGCACTTGGGAGGCAGAGGCAGGCAGATCTCTGTAAATTTGAGACCAGCCTGGTCTACAGAGCTAAAGTTCCAGGACATCACTGTTACACAGAGAAACCCTGTCTTGAAAAAACAAAAAATAATAGAACTAAAAAAAGAAAGAAAAGTTGATGTTGGAGCCAGCAGCCTGGGCTCCAGCTCTCTTGCCTTGTTTTTTTGCTAGCTTGTACCTAATGTCTGTCAATACTCTTCTACCCTGGTTTGGGCTTATGCAGATCTGTTCCAAGGGTTCGGTATAAAATAACATTGAATGGGCAAGCAACCAACTATACAGAGACTATGTCTGAACTGTTTCTTTAACGGTTTGTAGGTTCAAATAGTCCATGGAATTTTCACAGCAGATATACACATGGATTTTGATTAGCAGGGGGCAAAAGCAAAAATAAAAGCTATTTTCTTAGCTCCCTGTTTGACTAGCTTATACCAGTCTGAATGAGTAAAAAATTCATTTCCATGCCCTAGGTGGTCTGGCCGTAATCATCGAGAGAAGATTGGGGTCCATGTCGTCTTTGACCAGGTATTAACCATGGAACCTTACTGCTGCAGGGACATGCTCTCCTCTCTTGACAAAGAGACCTTTGCCTATGATCTCTCCGCAGTGGTCATGCATCACGGGAAAGGGTTTGGCTCAGGACACTACACAGCCTATTGCTACAACACAGAGGGAGGTGCGTGCGCTTTACTCTGTCGGGGTGGGGACGTGGAAAAGGGTCATTTGTTCACATTTTATTGCTTTTCATTATTTCCATCCCCCTAGGTCAGCTAGGGACAAATTAAATATGTTAGAATTCAGTGAGAAGCATTATGAAAGTTGGGGTTTGGTAAGGATGAGGTTATGCTAGGAATGAACAGAACTACCCACATCAAAGCACTTGGATCCAGTGCTGGAGGTTAGCCTTAGCACAGTATCATCAGTAGTACTGATTATCGATGGGGTTACTATGGCTATGGGGATGATAATTCTGCAGACCTCAGCTTCCTTCTTGGTCATGCAGAAATAATGGAGCCTTTGTAACTTCATGGTCATATGTTATAAATCTTTATCCTCAGTCAAATAACTGAGGACACTGGGGACTTTCTGTGCCCTCATTTGCCCCCTTACCTTGAGTGTGGGTATCAAGGGTCCTCCAAAGGAGCTTCAGCCCTACCCTGGGGCAGTCTCCAGCTGTTGCACTAATAAAGGTGGTGATAAAGATGGGCTGGGACATAAAGAAGTACTGCTGTCACTCCCCTCTACCCAGTTCTCTTCCCCCTTCCTCTGCTTACTCCAAACCATCCCGGCTGTCTCTGGAGGCTTCAGTAGACATTACAAAGGCATAAAGGAAGCAAGGACAGAAGTTGGTCAGTCAATACCGTAGGCAAGAGTCTTTTTGGTATTTAGTGGGGCAAAAGCCTGGGGTTACAGGGAGCATGGTGTCAATTCACATGTCCTTCCCTCCCCGTGTCAGAAGGTGTCTCTTCCCCTATCTCCTGGTTACACTGTCTGGAAATGTAAACTAGGTCATATTTTCTCTTTCTCTCCTTTGGCTTCCTAGGTTTTTGGGTCCACTGCAATGACTCAAAGCTGGATGTGTGCAGTGTCGAGGAAGTGTGCAAAACCCAGGCCTACATCCTTTTTTACACTCGAAGAACAGTTCAGGGCAGTGCAAGACTCTCAGAACCCCAACTCCGAGCTCAGGTGCAGTCCAGCAGCAAGGACGAAGGCAGAACATGCACACTCCCCTGACTAGGAGACATGCATCAAAATGTCCTTACATGTTCCCTCTTGGGTAATAAGGCTTGCCACAGTAACAGATTGCTGGGTGTGCCTCACTGGGCCTAGAGGAGACAATGCCAGGTGATTCTGCCCTGTCAAAAATGGGTAGTCACTTTCTTTTGAAAACATTTGGAAATTCCCTCCTTTCATAAAACAAATCTAAAGGAGTAACTTCTATGAAGATTCTTTTGTCAGTTGCTTCTGGATAATAGGGGGAAGGGGGGCAGCAGTGGGGAATGGTCATCCAGCCAGGGGAGCAGCCATGTCTGTCTTCTGTGTCGTGAGTCCCCTACTAATCAGGGCCTCCCTGCAGCACTGCACAGAGCACATGAGGAGGGCCCCAGGCTGGCAGCTGGTGGGGAAGATTGGTTCCAAAGTGAAAGGGGAAGTCGAGGCATTTATTCGCACAAAAGAGGTGGCCATCAAGGATCACAGCTCGCAAGCTTCCTTTTTTAGGAAAGAGATTGGAAAGTAGAGTGACGGGCATGGAAGTACATTTTCTCATGCCAAACAGGAAGGCTTTCAGAGCCAGGCGTCTCCGGAGTTGCTGCTATCACCTCATCATTCTACCCTGGTGAGACACAGTGAGCCACCCTTCCTTTTGAAGAGGCAGTCGTAAGAGGAGGCATAGACTGGTGCGTGGTTGGTAGGACCCTGGCTCGTGCCTGGAGCCAGCACATGGTTTGGTTCAGATTGGTCTTTGGGTCAGTGGTCAGAAGTCAGTGGAGTGAGTGGGGACTGTCCCAACGCCTGCTGTCCCTAGGGTCTCACCTTGTATGGCATGCAGCTCCTTCCCTGCTGCTAGAACATTTGTGCTCACTGGGTTTGGGAGCTTTTGCTTCCCCGGGCTGTGAACGTGTGTCCAGTTCTTGCTCATGGCCCTCATCTGTTTTCTTTCTAGTCTGCTACTTATTCTCACCTGCTGCTCTGGCCACCTGCCCTGGGTTCATGAGCAGTACAGCAAGACTCCCATCTTTTACTGCTATTAGTAAAAACACATCTTTAAAACTGGCTCCTTTGCCTTTGCAGTGCCTCAGCATCTCCTGTGAACAAGGAGCTGGCGTTAAATGTACAGCTGTCACTTGATGGGAATAGATAGGGAAGGCAGTTGAAGGGGTGGGAAACAGGGACAAAGAGGCTGAAGGAAGCATTGCTGTTTCCCAGGCGCATCTGTAGCATTTATTGCTGCCCTCATTTCAGATGAACTCCTGTAGGTCTGCCAGACATCACTGATTCATGGAAGAAATCAGACAGAAAATGGCTTCCCCAACAGGGATGGTGTGGCTAGATTTAAACTTGCTTTTTTACAACACTGTGAGGTTTCTGTATTTAGCTTTTATTTGGAAGCGATAATGTATGGCATTTTTGTGCTGTTTGGTTTTTACTGTCTACTTCAGGCTTTTTTGTGAGCTCTGCATGGCCTCCTCCTCTCCAGGACACTGTTTTAAAGTGTCTGGTGGTCCATGCTGCCTGTGGCTCTGATAGAAAGCTGTACTCTAAGGTCCAAGGAGGTCCACATTACCAAGGTGCATGATGGTGATGATGCATCACCATAGTAGGAAAGCCCATTCAAAAACAAGCCCAGTGGTCTGGTACACCTCTGGAAGGCCAGCACCTGCTAGGCTGAGGCAGGAGGATTGAGTTTGAGGCTACATTGTGAGACCCTGTCTGAAAAACAAAAAAAAAAACAAAAAAAAAAAAAAAAAAAAACCATTGAGAGTAGAAAAGGAAACAAGACTGAATTACACCTCATCTTAAACCCTGTGGTTTTTGTTCTAGAAAGAGAACTTGCAGGCAGAGAATACATTTGTCTGTCCACAGGGGAAAATCATTTGTCAATATAAACACGTAAAGGAAAAGTAGAAGGTTCTAATTCAGTTTAAAAAAAAAAAAAGCTTCATAGCAACTATCAGCAAGACTGGTAAGCAGACTGGGGACTCTGTAAATATTTAGCTGACCTGAACACCCACATAGATTAATAAAATCACTTGAAATGAGCTGCACTGAAGCCAGCTGTCTCCACTGAGCCCCCCTCGTGAAGGCGCCCCTGCACCACAGACACCTCAGGCACCAGCAGCAGCAGCGTGAGGGAGGGAGTTGGTGCTTAAGGAGATGTCTGTCGCAGAAGCGCCGTGTGCTGTGTTGTCCTCTGCCTCTGGTGTCTGCACAGCCAAAGCAGGGCTGTGTCAGTTACATCACATTCTAAAGAGAAGAGCAGGCAGGCCAGGTCAGACGCCAGGTGCTGCTCTCCCAGCTGCAATCTCTCTCTGTGAGCCCTTTATAATTGGCTGGTGTGTTTACTTACCACTGTAGCCAGCCAAGATGAATACACCCCAGCCCTCAAAAAAACGATTTCTTACCTCAGTCTAGCCTGATCCTCATGCTTGTGGTTAAGAGCAGCACCCATGCTAGTGTAAAAGTAGCAGGGATACCCTTGGCAGCCAGGAACTGCAGCTCTTATCAAATGGTAGGCAGAGCTCTTGCCAGCTTTAACCAGCCCCTCTGGCTAAAATGGAAGGGCGGTGCCACATGGTAAAGAACTAGATGTCTCTAAAAATGCCATGAATAAAATTGGAAACTGTAGAAGTGTTCATGTGTCCTATGGACTCAATAGCAGAGTTTATTTTTGTTCACAATGGCAAGGCTTCTAGAGTCCATGATTGTGTGAGTCCCCTGCTCTGCCGATGCCTTCAGCTCCACCCACATTCAGGGGAAGAACCCATGAGGTGGACCGGCCGCCAGTGCCCCAGAGTAAGCTGAGGTGGACAGCGGTGCACAGTGAAGACTTGGGGTGGGGTGGGGGAGCAAGGGAGATCTGGGATTTGTTTTACTGATACAGCTTTGTGAACTAATTTTATACAATTCATAAAATTTGGTGCCTTGTACTTAATTACGGTTTGCATGAGATTGAAAGGGAAAGGGTTCCTTTTTGTTATGCCAAGTGGCACATGGATCTGTAGTGTTCAAAGGATATGTGCTATCAAATTTTATAGAACATTCTTATCTCTTGTGTATGAATGCAAATTGTTCTTACCAGCAGTGGGTTCTAGAGTTCCAATGTCCATCACTGTTTGTATTGTAACCAACCATCAGATGACTTGTCTTTCAAGACAGCCAACACACACCATTGTTGTCCATTGCCTCTTGTATATACCAAACAGTAAGGCTGGCCTTTTCTGGAAGGTGACCCTTTTCCTGAATGTGTACCACATCCCTATCTGCGGTTGCAGCTTATGTGTAGAAGGGTTTCTAGCTAGATGGGAGAGCCAACTGATCAGAAAAGCCTTTTTGAAAACCATGACTAAAGCTAGGCAATCAATGGCAGTGGAATCTTCATCAATTCTGGAGCCCTGCACAAGCCATCAGGAAGCAGTGTAGGAAACAATTCCCCACATGAGAGCCTTTAGATTGTAAGACAGACCAGTACACTGTAATATGCAGAGTGGGTGATACAAAATGATGTCCCTGTCACTGCCACCCTCAAGACATTCTGGGCAGATGAACCGGGATGGTGCTAAGTGGCTGTGGGAGATGGCAAGACTCAGTCTATTGTCAGGGCTCTTCGAAGGCGGTTCTATCACTCCAACCTAAGGTTTCTGCTGAGCTTGTGAGACTCCCCATTCACAGCGCACTCAGTAACCAGGTCCCTCAGCCTAGTTCCTGAACTAGTTAGGTGAAGAGTTGTATCTTCAGGGTGAAATTTTCCAGGACCACTTGGTTTTTTACCAGCTAAGTGTGGGTTTCTTTTTGTCAGTGCTAAAGCAACTCATCAGGACCGTGAGCCTTGTGTCTTCCACATTCCTGTCTGCTCTCAATCCAGGGCTGTCACTTTAACCACTACATGCTTGTCAACCCACACACCCTGGCTTAGTAGCTATGGGGCAAGTAGTCACTTTTGTTAACTCTCCATACTTATGCTGGCATGTTTCATTTAAATAGAACCAGCTGCTGGCAGAGTAGCTCACTGCTTGAGCACCTAGCTAGCATGCTTGAGACCCTGGGTTCTATCTAGCCCTACTAAACCCATTTAAATAAATCTGCCAAGCTAGCATTATGGCTTCAAAAAACAACAGTAAAGTTACTTGAAATTATATCCTTAAATTTGGAATGAAATTTCATTTCAGTTATACTTTTGAAAGCTATCATATCTTAATTCTCTCTAGATTCTTTATCAACAGAAATTTTAAATAAATAGGATCATACAGCACACTTGAAAGTTTCAGTCCTTAAAAAAAAAAAAAAAAAAAAAAAAAAACCCTCAAGCTGTAATTTCCTTACTTAGCCAGGGACATGTGGGGGTCCTGCATACAGCTTAGAAAGCAACTTCCTAGATACCCTTTCGGGCCTTCAAGTAATGGCTTCAAACCCAAGCCGTATCCCTGTATTCATATTCATGATCCTGCTCCCCAACGCCCCTTTTTTTAAAGACACGATCTCACTGTGTAGCCCTGGCTAGCGTGGAACTCACTATGTAGACGAGGCTGGCCTCAGAGATCCACATGCCTCTGGGATTCAGTGTGTGCCTTGAGGCCCAGGTCTCTTGATGGTCTCTAAAATAAACTTCAGATGTTACTCAGAATAGATTCTAGGATCTTAATTCATGTTAAACCAATCTAGGCCTAAATTTACTCAGTTTCACCTAGCCATTATCACACAGGTTCTACCTGATAAACATTCACAAGGAAATGGTAATCCCCACCCTTTATATGGCTAGACATGTAGCTGAGAGTGCTTGCCTGGCACGCCTAAGGCTCAGAGTTTGATCCCAGCACCACATAAAATCCTAACAATTGGTTTGTGGAGGCAGAATAAGGAGTTCAAGGCCGTCTTCTTCAACTATGTACTTAAGTTTGAGACCAGCCTGAGCTACAGATACTGTATTTCAAAAACACAAGCAAAACTTTTTCAGTTGCCTTCCCCCACACCCTTTCTTTCAGTGGGTGTTTGGAGGTCAAATTCATGAGTGTTCTGCAGTGAGCTATGCTCATAGGCCCAGATCCAGCAGATCTAGGAAAAGAGACTAGAGGTAACACCTGTCAGTCGTGCAGCTGTAACCCTGTAATCCCAGTTCCAAGGGGCCTGCCACATGAAAGCAGTTTAAAAATGCCCAGTAAACTGACTAAATGAAACTATGGAGAGGCTATCTCTAGCCACCTTGTCCCATGACCATAGGAGCCTTCCCTTCTCGGTTCATTCGCTCCCAAGAAGACCAGACAGTGGCACCAGCATGAATCATGGGGGAGGAAGCTGCTTCCTCATGCCCACTAATGAGTTTGCCTCTGCCCACACATCAGTGCCCTCTTCTGCCACCAAATCTCACTCCAACAACACCTGGTGAACCAAAATGCCAAACACCACCAAATGGCTTCCTCCCCCAGGACTGCTCAATAGAAGAAAGTCCTCAAGAACCAGCTTTGTGGCATGTCTGCATCCCTGTGGAGTAAGTGGTTTCAGTTTCTTTCTTTTTTTTTTTTTTTTTCTTTTTTCTTTTTTTTCTCTCTCTCTCTTAAAATGAGGCAAAACATCTCCATTACAATCCATGTTTGGGGCTCGTTCCTGTCTCTTGATTGTGAAATACAGATCATGTGTTTTAATTTTTTGTAAACTGACCTTTTTACACCTTGGTTTTGAAAGAAGTTTCTTATTAAAAGAATAAAACGTCTGTCTTTGTGTGCAGGCTTTATTTGAAATATTTTTCAAGAACCATTACTCTGCCCAGGACACGGGCAAAGATCACCTTCTGCAGAAACCTGGGAACTACTACACACAGAACTGGCCAGAGTGGAGGGTTCAGTCAAGGAGAGGAAATCCACTTCAGCTGCCATGGGCAGTAACTCTTGGTCACAGGCAGTAGGCCGTCTTTGGGAAGTTTGAGTACACAGGATTTCCATTATCTGCAACCAGATAACAGATGGTATTAGGAATACACACACGGGCATTGGTGGCACACACCTTGAATCCCAGCACTGGGGAGGCAGACGCAGGTGGATCTCTGTGAGTTCAAGGCCAGCCTGGTCTACAGAGCTAGTTCCAGGACAGCCTCCAAAGCTACAGAGAAACCCTGTCTTGAAAAAACAAACAAAACAAAACAAAAAAGCAATAATTTTGGGGCTGGAGAGATGGCTCAAAGGTTAAGAGCACTGGCTGCTCTTCCAATTCCCAGCAACCACATGATGGCTCACAACCATCTATAATGAGATCTGGTGCTGTCTTCTGGTGGTCAGACATACATGGAGGCAGAATGTTATATTCATAATAAATAAATCTTAAAAAAAAAAAAAGAAGGCATTTAGTTAAAACACACACACACACACACACACACTGCTTTCATCTAGAAACCCAAGGGTGAGGATTTACCCAAGTCTCCCTCCTCCCTGAGCATAGCAGACAGAACTATTGCTGATGTCATCTTTCAAGACTTCTGAAGCAGGCAAACAGTTAAGTGCTTACTTGGCTACACCCCTGGCTGAGGTGCCATCAAATCAATGTCACTCAAATTCCTGGCCAGCCAAACTCCCGCAGCAAAGAGTCCCAAATTGAGGATCAAGTTCCTGAGTAGAGAATATATTTCATTAACCCTGAAGTCACTGAGTCATGAAGCTAATGTCATACCATGGGAAGTCTCCCCTCAGCACCGCCTTCTAGAGGTGTTGGTGAACAAATGATGCAGTAGTACGTCGCCTAATATGCACGTGACAATTTGAAGTTTACATCTATTCCTAACACAAGCAAGAGCCACCTTAGCACTCTTCAGAGCTAAGGTGTTGGCACCTCTTCCCTGCCTTCTAGGTCTGGGCGACTTCTTAAAACAATTACATTAATTTGTGTGTACGTGTGCGACCGTGCGTGTTCACACATGCAGGTGTGGTAGTCCGAGTAAGTCCAAGGGATCGAATTCATGTCCTCAGGCTAGGCGTCCAGCGCTTTCACCCGCTGAGCCAGGGCGACCTTCTATATACATTGAGAGCCACGTGACAGATGTCTTTTGCCATCAGGACATTTTTGAGCCTACGACCTTAACACAAAAAGTCACTACGAAACCACATTGCTGTCAATGAGGTAAAATCCCCGGGAATGCCAGACTCGCCAGGAAGAAATACAAGTTTGCTAAGGCCAGAGGGTCCAGCCTTGCTTACCTCCGGAAGTCGTTCCTATCGGTCGCGAAGCGGTAGACACCACGGAGCCAGTCTCCCACGTTGTCTGGGACCTGGGGGGCCTCACTGGCCGAGCCGGAGGCGCTCACCGTCACCCCACTAGAAGCCATCGCAGTAACAAGCACCTCCGCACTGGCTCCGTGCGGCGCAGAATCGGCGCGGGCCGATCGCGCAATTTCCGACTCCGCACTTCCGCCCGCCGGTGGTGAGAGGCGAGAAGTCCCGCCCCCGACTGCATCCACGAGTTCAGAGCTTGCAACCCCGGCCGGAGGTGGAGCCCCTGCTCGCTGCCCCACCTGGTGCCTGGAGCGTGTCACCGCAGCACCGTTAGTTCTAGCAAAGTGCTGACTCTGGAGCTGGCCCATCCCGGGGGATAGAGGCTAGCTCACCTAGGAAGCTCTGGGCAGTGCTGTGTCCCCAAGAAAGTTTTCTTCAGGCTAGCGAGGGCGCAGTGTGGATGGGACTGCCCCGCGTGCCTGACTGCCTCCAGTCTCCGGCCTTTTACGCATAGCAGTCTTGTTATCCCGCTTCTCCAGTCCCCCATCTCACTACCTTGATCTCCGGGCAGCGCTACTAACAAATGATGCAGTGCTTCCTGGAGATGTCTCTGCCATCTGCCTGGAGGTTTTCGGGGGTCTTCCAGGGGCCTGGAAGGCGCTGGCCGAAGAAAAACCCTTCGGGTTCCGACTCGGAGGAAGAGGAGCAGGTGGGGCAGGGGCTGTCCTCTTTGGGGTTTCCGGGCGTCTGTGGGCGGTCTTGATCCAGCCCTTTGGACGCCGGACTCGGGGTTTCCAGGGTTGGGCTGGCGACTGTAGAGGAGATCGCAGCTCGGAAGATGATCTTGTCATCCGAGGAGGCACGGTTCCAGCCGACGCTTGGATCGGGTCCTGTTTCCCCTGTTCCAGACCGGTTAGAAATGCCCGTGTCAGCCCCCAAATCCCTGTGCAAGAGGCGGGCCAGGGTTGCGTGCAGCCTCCCGCCCCGCCCCAGGCTGTGCCGTGCGCGCCGCCGCTGCCGCCAGTCTACCCCAGGGGCCCCCGCCGCCGTCCACCAGTGGGCGACCGCGTCCCCCACCACCACCCCGCCCGGGAGCGAGACTGGCGCCGCAGCCCCGCCGGGTGGGTTCAGGAGGCTTTCGGAGCGCGCAGGCCAGGGAAGCGCGGTGAGAGCTGCGGGCCCCGATGCTCGCATCTGGGGGTTGCGGTGGAAGGACGGGGCGCTGCTGGAGCGGGTAGGACAGCATGGGGATGGGGGCGAGGGGTTCAGGCCCGGGAGACTGCCCCCTGCTACGTTCAGCCTAAGCCGCCGCCCCCTCCCCCCTTTGATCTGCACTGTCCCCTCCTTTACCAAGGGGCGCTTGCCCTTCCAGTGCCCCTTGTGAGTCAGAGTCTGCGCTCTGGTAGCGGCTCACGAAGCAGCTGGGGCAGCAGGGGCTGCCCCCGGGCAGGGCATAACGACCTGCACTCAGAGGCCCGGCGCAGTCTTGGCAGCAGAAGTGGTTCTTGTGCCAGCGCCGTCCCTCGGCCTCAGTGCAATGCTGGGAGAAGATCAGCTGAGAGAGGATGAGGAAAACGATTGAGTCATTCATTCGCTCACTCATTCATTCGTTCGTTCATCCATCCAGTACCCATGCCTTATACCCATTAACGCTAGAAAAAGGTGCCCACAGGCATTCGGATTTGGAGTACTTTGTCACTCTTGGATTCAGGGAGGGTGACTGGTTTGGGCCAGGTCCTCCCTCCACGTAGCCAGTAGCACAGATAGAAGTTGGACCCCAGAGCTTCCCTGACTCCCATCCCAAGGCTGCCAGTACTGGCTTTCACGTTGATGTCAGGGTCTTTCTAGCATGGTCAAGATGAGCACAGAGCATCTGGCATAGTGATGCGGTAAATATTCAAGAATCCAGAAACGTTCAGAGTCCAAACTAATTTAAGATCTCTGCTTGCACTGGAGAAGAGCAGATAAAGGCAGCAGGTCCCACGTGGCCAGAGCTCAAGAAAGGACACAGGCAACGGAATGGCCCTGGCTGCTTGCTAGTTCTCTCTACCCTCTTCCCCACTTCTACTACAAGAGCCTATAGCCTGGGAAGGTGTTCCTGTACTACCTTGCTGGCCCTGAGGAAGAATCCCCCTAGCGTCTCCCCTTGGTGCTCTACCTGGTCACAAGCTGGACATCGAGGTCGCAACAGCTCTGCGTGATGGCGGCCACAGTAGAGATGCCCATCGTGGTAAAAATAGATGAGGTTTATCAGGGCCTGACCACAGGCCTGGCAAGCAAAACAGGGTCTGTGCCAGCAGCACCGCTCACCAGCCCTGGCCGCAAACACTCCATACTCTCCTGGATTCAGCAGCTTCTTGCACTGGCAAAGCAGGGGCACTGGGCTGGTGAGAACCTGTGCCTGCTTAGCTTACCTCACGGCTCTTAAACCACAGCCCCAGTCTGACTGCTCGCATTGCGCCGCAGGCCCACCTCCTCCGCACAGGCCAGCTCCTCAGACCTGGTTCCCCTCCTCCCCAAAACTGACCAAATCGCTGATCCTGAAAACATTTCCCCACTAAACTCCCCAAAACCCTTTCCGCAGAAGTGGAAGAGCGGAGGGTGGAGGAAGGGGAAGGCTCAGGGATGGAGAAGGGAGAGGCGAACCCCTACCTTCTCACAGGTGTGCCCTTCAAGCTTGGGAGGTAGCAGGCGGGCCACGCCCTGTCCCAGAGATTCCCGCTTGCGCTGGGCACAGAAGAGTCGCAGCTGGGCCAGCTCTTCCTCCCCTAGGGCCAGACAGTAGCGCTCCTGCAGAAACAAGCCCCACCCACCCAGACCTCAGGCTAGACCACCGATAGGGTTGGTCTGCGGCTTAGATGCTGGGTCGGGGAGAGGAGAAGCGAGAGAAAGCACGTGCTTGAGAAGGAGGGAAGAGAACGCGAAAGTGCTTAGGCTCTCTGCTGCCACGGACCTGCCGTCACTCAGGTCAGGGCTGCACAGCCGTTAGTACCGTCGCCACACAGCATGGCTCTAGTTGTCAACATCGCTTTCACCTGTTTTCTCCCTAGAGAATTGTAAGCCTTCAGGCCGCACATGGTGGGGCCTCAATAAACACTAACCACCATATTTCTACATTTGTGCATCCCATCCTTGATTTCAGATGCCGTTCATGTCCATTTTCCCATTTGCTCCTGAGCCTTATAAGCACTGTGATGCGCAGAACAGGTGTTACTGTACCTGTCACTAGGTGTGGAAACTCAAGCTAAGGGGAATTCCTTCCCCCAGCTACTGGCAGAAGCAGGCCTTTTAGTCACACCTCCTGAATTCTAGGCCAAGACTCTTTCTACACAGTGAGTAAGAAGGTGTGGAGAGGCAGTGAAGGAGGGGAGGGGGGGACCAGCAGGGTGACCCACATCACTGTCCTGTGGAGGAAGCTGCTGCAGGAGGGTCTGAAACCCAGGCCGGTTGGAGGCTTCGTTGATATCCAGGCAAGGTGGGCCTGAACTTGAGCCTGTAGGAGCCTGAGGAGAGACAGGAGAAGAGACTAGGTTTCTCCTTTCCCTTCCCTTGTCCTAACCACCTTCCTTTCTATCTATATCGACTCCCAGGCATCCCTCGCCACTTGGAGGGAAATCTTTCCTGTCCATCACTAAGCAAGAATGGTAGGTCTGCCGATGTTGCTGGTGCAGGCCTCTAGTCCCAGCTGTCAGGCAGAGGCAGGTGGATTTCTGTGAGTTCAAGCCTAGTCTACACAGAGAAACACTGTCTCAACAAAAAAGAAAAACGGGATAGTACATCCGCTCCCGATCTGTGGTCTGCCTGGAAGGAGCCCCGACACCATTCCTTATATCTGAAGCTCCCCATTCACTCACTGCCTGGAGCCAAGTCTCTGACAGCTACGACAGACCCAGGAGAGGCACTACATGTTTACAGGGTGAATTTCAAGTCAAGCCCCTGATTCCTGAAAAGAGAACAGGTCTACAAAGAGTCAGACAAAGCCAAGGGGGTGTGCATCCCTATAGTTTCTCCCACTAGGAGCTTGATGTAGGAGAACTGAAAGTTCCAGGGCGGATTAACAAGATCTTGCCTCAAAGTTGGGGAGAGGGGGGAGGCTTAGCAGGTAAAGGCACTTAACACCAAGCCCGAGTTTGGTTCCCTGGACCCACATGGTGGACAATAGAGCTGACTCCAACAGTTTGTCCTCTGACTTCCACACACGCTGTGATACACAACACGCACACATCAATACTTAACAGTTTGGGGGCTTGTTTTGCTTTGAAACAGGATGTCTCTCTGTAGCCCTAGGTGGCCTGGAAGTTGATACTCAATATGTAGACCAGGCTGGCCTTGTACTCACAGAGATCTGCCTGTGTCTGCGTCCTGGGTGCTGGCACTAAAGGTGTGCGCCACCACACCTGGCCAGTAAACATTTGGTTTTGTTTTAAAGAGAAATGGTTGGTAGGACGGGAATGAAGGCCAGAGGAAGAGTGCATGGTGACCTCAGAGTGTGACTCCTACCTGCACAGAGGTACCCTCATAGCCCTCCACTAGCTGGTGGCCTGAGTCACTGTCTGAGCTGACCGGAGGATCTGGCTCCCTAAAGATAGGACTGTCCTGCTGGAAGGACCACTCAGGATTCTGAACTGACATTGGTGACAGTCTTCCTGAAAAAAAAAAGAAAACCAGGCAATGCAAAGTGCTTTGCAAACATCATCTCAAAGTCTTGTCTACAGCCAGGCCACTTTAGTAGTGACCCCATCTTAAAGATGGCCAGGCTGTGGCTCAGAGAGCACTGATATACAAACCCAAAGTCAAACAGCTAATAAGTGGAAAAGTCAGGTCTCTTAGCCCCTGAGATGGTGAAGTTCAAATTCTCGGGTCTTACAAAGATGGGTGGAGTAGAAGGGAAAGGAAGCATTTTTGCTCTCCCATGAGTCTCTGGGTAGGCTGCACTTCCCCTCACCTCCCCAGTCTTCCCGAGGTCCCTCAGGGCACCCCAGCCCAATACCTGGCCCCTCACTAAACACTCCTCTAGCTGCACATTTCTGGTTATGTCCTTTTGGAGCCTGGTTGAAGGCCTCCTCACTGGGACTCCTCCTGAGCTTCTCTGGCCTGTACCAATTCTCCCTTCCCTGCATCCTCAAAGGCCCCGAATCAGTAGCCCAGTGTTTCCTCATCTAAATACCTCAAGGGTCCAGGAAGACTTTGTGCTCACTCATTCTCTCTGATTGAACCCACAGCCTCTCACAATCCAGACATGCCTTCTCCCACCAAGCTATACCGCCTGGCTTTAGAGCAGCTTGAGGCGGGCTCACAGAGCCAAGGTTAGCCTTGAACTCCAGATCCTTCTGCCTGGACCTCCAAAGTGCCAGAGATCCAAGGCATGCACCACCATACCCAGCCTTAAAGCAGCAATTTTACAGATAGTCCCAGTGTACCTCCTTAGCCACCCTTGAAATGGGATCACAGTTTCTTTGGGTGGGACTAACTGCTTTTGATGGGGTCTCAGGCTAGTAGTGAGTGAGGAACTTAACCAGACAGAGCAAGGCTCACATACACGCATCCTGGGTCAAGGGCTGGGCTGTGTAGACTGCTGGCAGCCAGAGTGAACTACTATGTTCATTCAGTGTCAGGGACTATTCAAAAATTTTACATGCTACGATCCATTCTTACCATCCATTGAAGCAGTTTCTTCTAAACTTTTACAGCTGAAAAGCCAACTATTGACCAATGAGTAAACTAGAAGGCTACAGAAGTTTTAGGAGGTAGCCTACCTCAGCAGCAGCTGGGCTCAGGAGGACCAACAGTAAATCACTAGGCTTTTGGGTGTTCTGCAGCTTTCGTTTATAACCATCAGGGTACCTCCCAAGTGCCCTCCAACCCCCCTTCAAATATCCAGTGCCACCCTTCCTGACTCCACACCCACCTGCTTCCGGAATCCTCAGGTCAGGTTTCCTGTGGAAGGTGGCCAGGATGGACTGTCCACACTCAGAGGTGGGAACCACCACACCCTTTAGCTGCTCTGTTTCAGCTCCGCGAAACAAGGGGGGGCGGTTTCTGGGGCCCCAGAAGGGGACTTGTACCCTCTTCCTGATTAGTTCTAGTTTGCATGAAATTGTCTGGCACAAAATAACAATCAGAACTCAGACCTCTATCCTTCACCCTTCCCATCCCCCACCTCAAGAGCAACCTAAGTCACCCCAGCTACCACTGGACCCCATCTTACTAACATGCTGGTTTCTTCCCATAAGTCCCCTCCCATCTCCTTTCAGGTAAGAATAGACCAAACACTGGCTCCCACCTCCTCCCTCACAGAGGCAACCAAGCTCAGGGTTCGACCTCCCCAAACAACACCTGTTCTTGGAAGGATGATCCTCAGAGGCCCTAGGGACTGTGGACATGGGAAGGTGTCCCTGAACCAGGGGGAAAGGGAGAAGGGTGTACGTTTTCATTAAGGGGCCTCTCGGCAGAGCCTCAAAGTTTTCCTAGGACTTTGCGGGTCCACCCACAGGGAGGAGGCTTACCGAGTTCGCTTGGGGTTCCTGTCTAGCTGCTGGTCTAGGAGTAGGGACTCAAACTCTACGCAGGGGTCTCAGCGTGGCCAAGGGCAAGCGCCCGCGCGTTCTGGAGAGACCGGTCGTCTGGCCACGCCCCCAGTGGCCTGGACCAAATGGGTGCTGCAGACTGAGGAACGAGCTCGTGGGTCTCAGGGAGGAGAGGGCGCGGGCATCCGTGGCCTTGGCGACGCGATGCTCCAACCACCGCCAAGCCGCCAAGAGTCTGGAGCCTCTCGGCCCGCCCCCGGCTTCAGCCCCGCCCTCCCCCGCGGGCCTCTGCAGCTCCTCCCCTCTGTCCCCAGTGGTCCCTGGCCACTTCCCCTCCTGGATCCTGAGTCCTGTCCCGCTTCTGTCTCCGATCCGCTCTGCTATCTTTCGCGATGCTCTCCTGCTTGAGAGATTGCTGCTTCCCACGTTCCCCGCCCCGCCCCGCCCCGCCCCGCCCCGCGCCGAGCCCCTTCTCCAGGCAGGCCACGCCCCTCCGGATTCCCAGGCTCCGGCCCCGAGCGCCCTCTGGCGTCTGCGCATGCTCTCTGCCCCCGACTGCAAAGTCCTCCAAAGGGACCTTCTAGGCTGCCTGCCGGTTGCCCCCGCTCGGGTCGGCCCGCCCGCAGCGTCTCGTTGGTGCAGCTGGTGACCTCCGACCCCGCGGGAGCGGGGCGGGGCAGGGAGGCTTTAGCTGCGGGCGGGCGGGCGGGTGGCGGCTGCTGCAGCGGGACCCGGGAGCGGGGCCCGGCGCCGCCCGGGCCGCGGGGCGATGTGAGTCGGGGTGCGGCGGGGCGGGGACCAGGCGACTTTACCGAGGCCGTGTCGAGCCGCGCCGCAGTCTCCGCTCCTGCCCGAGAAAGCCCCAAGCGGGCGGGCTAGCGGCGGACCCGGGGGCTGGGGGCGGGGATGCAGGCTCGGAGGGCGGCCGCGATCTCCGCATTCCGTCTGGGTATCTAGAAAACCTGTAACCAGTTCTGCCTCTCGCTCCCCAGACCCCACCCTCTCCCCTCTCCCCGGTTACACCTTCGGGTCTCCAGGATCCCGCAGAACCCCCTCACTCACTTTTCCAACCCCCTGAAATGCCCACCGACACATTTCCTTCTCCCCTCAGTGGCTTCCGCAGTCACCGTCCTGAAATTCCTCAACCTTTTCATTCTTTCTGCACCATGCCCGAATCCAGGGTTCTCACCCGTCTTCTCCCAAGGCTTCGTGTACATTTTCAGGCTTCATCCAGTGCCTGTCCCCAATCCTGCCTACCTCAGACCACAGCCTCCCCCACCCCACGCAATGTAATCACTCAGTGAATTATCCGATAATGTGTTTGATATCCCAAAGAAAAAGGGGTGTCGGAAAGGAACAACCCCTCCCCCATCTTGCATCCAGTGGCTTTTGGCTTCACATCCCTCCCCAACACCCTGTTGATCATTTAAGCCCCCATGGCTCTTTCAAGTACCCGCCTTAAGCCTGCACACAGTTCTTTCAACCTGCCTTCTCCTTTCAGAGAATTGGCCAGACCAGGAGTGTGGGGTCCTTTTACCTAAGTTGTGCAAAGGTGCAGAGCTGGGGGAGGGGGCACTGGGAAGTACTGTTTTCTGGAACAGGAAGCAGGGCTTTCGAGAGTTTTTTCGGAGCCCTGGTTTGTTGATTTATCTACCTGGGGCTCAGATAATTTGAAACTTTGCCTCTTGTTGTAACTGGCCTTTCTGACACTAAGGAGCGGAAAGTCTGTCCAGCTTTCGGATGGGAAGTGCTTTATTAATACCTACTTCCAAGAGTTACTTCAACTGGAACTCCCACGGTTGACAGATGTGGGGGCAAGGTGCTGGAGGGCAATGGCAACTCCCCCAGATATGTCGTAGCAACAAGACGTTCTGGAATGTTCGTTTTCGGGGTCTCAAGCTGGTGCTCCTGCTGTGCTTGCATGGTGTTAATATTGTTCTTCTGAGAAAGGTCAGCTGATGGTCTCGGTGGCACTCCACAGCTGGTGCGGGGCATCACGGAAGTTCAGTGCCATTGGTCCTAGGGAGCTCCTTCCAGGGCTGAGAGTTTGTGGTCCTTTACCAGAGATCTTGTGTTCATCGATCTTTCTGGTAGGACTTAGTTCCCACTAGGACCTAGACCAGATAAATCCAGGTGGGATTTACTGCTGCTAACAGGTCTGTCTCATGAAGAGTTGGGGCTGAGGATAGGTTTCCATTAATGTGTGGTCTCTGTCTCCTGTGCTAGGTGAGCCCCAGGTGTGACCCACGGGAATCCAGGTGACGTCTCTGCAGGCTCTTCGCCATGTCACCCCATCAAGGACTGGGGGAGTAGAGTGGGAGTTCTTTCCCATGCCCCTCCCATGGTCAGCTCCCCAATGGCCTGGGTGAGGTAAGAACTGTGGCTAGGTGTCAGTTTTGTAGATTTCCTAACTTGGGAGGAATGTAGGGAACAGGTGGCTGGGTTGTTCAGGGTCCTACCACAGCAGCAGAAGTTCCGGGATAATCCAAAGCCTCATGGTTTTTTGCAGAAAAGTGAACCTCTTAAAGCTGTTGGCTGAGTCTAGGACAGTAGCTCGGCAGCAGGGCCTTTGTATAGCTAGTGAGAGGCGCTGGATTAGATTTCTAGCACTAAAACCAAAACAACAACAACACCTCTGTTTGGTCTCTGTCCGTGTGTTTTTTCGTTCCTATAGGTCACCGAGGTCTACGTGGTTTTTTGTCCATATTAAGGCAGAAACCTGTCTGTTGTGACATGTCATCCAATTGCCAATATCCTGAAGGGAAAAGCCAGCTAAGGTCTCTTATCTGTGCTTTGGCCTTTAGGAAGAAAACTCAGCATTCTGTTAGTTGTTATAGTTCTAGAGTGCTGGTGATTGAATCTGGTACCTCATATGAAGGATCTTCCACTGAGCTCAGCCCCAGCATTTTTTCTCAGTGAAGAAATACCTAATCAGTATTTTTAAAAAATCATGCTAGTTTGAGCCCAACCTGGTAGTATGCAGCCCTTGGAGAGCAGAGACAAGAGTTCTGTCAGTCCAGTGTTCGGTCATTAAGTATGGGGTTGTTTGTTTGTTTGTTTTAGTTTCTTGGGTTTGTTCCAGACAGCCTTTCCCTGTGTAGCCCTGGCTGACCTGGAACTCTCTCTCTGTAGACCAGGCTGGCCTTGAATCACAGAGATCCTCCTGCCTCTGCCTCCCAAGTGCTGGGATTAAAGGCGTGCTGCTCCACCACCGCCAGCTCATTGTGTCTTGTGGGCACAGACAGTGTAGCAATGGTTTACTGGAAGAGAGCATCAGAAATGCTGATTTCCGTGGAGTGGAGTGCAGGGTTAGGTGAAGAATGAGGATAAGAGAAAGGAACAAGATGGCGGCCGGGGTACCAAGTGACCCTGCGTTTGCTGAATCCAGATGAGGATGTCAGGCAGTCATACACCCTGTTATAGCCATACTGCCCGTCTAGGCCAGGACTGTTAACCTCTGAGAAGCCCGCCGACCCCCCACCTGCAGGAACCCCTAACTCACTGTAACTGGAATTAATGTTTGGCTGTGGATGGAGAGGGAATTCCCTCAGGGTGTGTCTGTGTCATGCAACCTCTTGTCCCGAAGACGTGCTCACAGTACACTGTTCTGCTCAGAGCCACTTGGCAGGGTTGCCGGTGACCTGCTCATCCTTGTCTTTCCCTAGGGTTAAAAGGCTGCTCTGACACCATGGGGAGCTGCTGTAGCTGCTTGGACAGAGACAGCGTGCCACACAACCACCCGACCAAGTTCAAGGTACCCAGAGCCTCTCCGCCTCGAGTTCTCAGTGGCCTGTTGAGTTTAGGACACCAGTATCTCTAGGGAAGGGGAAATGACAGGCTGTGGCTGTGGACTCATTAAGGCCTGATGCTTGCTCTTTGGCTTCTGAGGCAGTGTGAGTCTGGTGGGGAACCTTGCCTTTTATTTTTGGTTGTTCTTCCCCCGCCCTCACCACCAAGAATAATGTGTTTTAAAGAGAGCATACATAGCCACTAAGAAATACTACATTGGTGTTTCATGAACCTTGGCTCCCTAGGGAGCCTTCTCCTCACACTGGGGTTTGTCGGGGCCAGTGTTTCTCTTTCCCAACTGGAGAGGGAGCCGTCAGCACATTCGCACGGTTGAGGGGTTGGAGGCTGCCTGTATTTGTTCTGCCTTGGGCCTGTCACCAAGTCTTTAGACTTTGAGTTAACAGTTAAATCCCTTCCTCGTTGACATCCCTGTCCTTTGAATATTCAGCCTCAGGAAGTCCTTGAACATTGGACAGCTAACCACCTGGCCTTGGAGGTCAATGGGCGACCTCTTTCCTGTCTGCAAATGACAGAGGAACCAGTGTACCTGTGGCACAGCTAAGAACAGCTCAGCATCCTGGCCCCAGCCCTACACAACACTGCCTCCCAGTGGCTCGGGGTCCCTAGCAGACACTTCCTGGGTTCTCCACTGACCCTGTGTCCACTCG